TGAACGGTTTTCAATGCATTTCAATGGGCTTTTTTATTTCGCTTTACAACGTTTTCGCTCTACAGTGATTTCGCTGGAACGAATTAACGTCGTTAAGCAAGGCACCACTGTACTTTATTAAAAGAAATTATTTAAAACTAAGAACAAGTATAAAGAGGCAGCTTACATAGTTAAGACAGTATTAAAGCTAAAACAATAAGTATACAAGTATTAAAAAGGAACAAACAAGTACGACTCTGAGAGATGGTAAACACAAGTAGTACTAAAGACCCAGTCACAGCAGTAATGCATAACAATCCATCTAAAAGTCATGGTTGTGTAGCTACTTACTGAGGGAATATTTGCCTGGAGAGAAAGGTCTTTGCCTGCTTGTGGAAGGACAGCAAGGATGGGGCCAATCTGGCCTCCAGTGGCAGGGAGTTCCACAGTCTGGGAGCAACAACAGAGAAGACTCTCTCCTGTGTCCCCATCGGGTGCACCTATGAAGGTGGTGGGACCAAAAGAAAGGACTCTCCTGGTGGCTCATAAGGGGAGACACAGTCTTTGAGATAGCTTGGACCCAGGCCATTTAAGGCTTTATAGATTAAAACCAACACTTTGAATTGTGCCTGGAAACTGACAAGCAGCCAGTGCAGCTGCTGTAGGGGTAGCCGGAGGCTTATGAGATCACTGTGACCAGCCCCAGCCAGCAATCTGACTGATGCATTTTGGACCCACTGAAGTTTCCTTACATTTTCCATCGGCAGCCCCAGATACAGCGCCTTACAGTAATCCAGCCAGGTTGCAACTAAGGCATATGTCACAGTAGCCAGATCGTATCTGAAGTACCTTGTTGACATACACAAGCCATCTCTTGCAGTTCCAGTTAAAAAAAAATGCCTCCAGTGGGAGAAGCCTAAATATTCCAGATGTAGCTCCGCAATGTCCCTGTTGACACTCTTTCTTGCTAGTCTTTTCTATTTGTATCAGATCACTGTACAATTTAAAATAATGGGCATGCATGAAATATTGATATCCAGTGTGGCGTAGAATCATGCATGAAATATTGATATCCAGTGTGGCATAGTATATAAAGTGACAGACTAGGACTTAGGAGGCCCGCGTTTGAATCCTCGCTTAGCCATGGACATACAATGGGAGAGTGGAAGTGGTAAAACTGTGCCCAAACTATCTCACTTATCCTGAAAGCCCAATTAGGGTTGCTATAAATTGGTTCGGACTGGACAGCGCATAACGACGTGAAATATAAAGTTCAAACAAATTTAAAATGCTAAAATAGATTATTTTTGATCAGAAGTGGGCTACTTCGATTGCGTTATCTTTGGCATTTACTGGATCTTCTTTAGAACACGTGATGGGATATAAACTGCATGCATATTAATGCTGCATTGAATTTTCTTCGCAAACATGTTTCCTGTATCCAAGCAGTTCCATTTTTTTTATTATTATTAGCATTTACCTGAGAAGCACTGCACTGTAAACATCTTGCTGGTGCACTAGGCACTCTTCATACACAGGCAGAAGTGCCAATTTTATTCTCCTCATAGTAATTCATGTTTCATTTGCATGTTTTCAGCTACAAATCAGGTGCTGCCAACCATCATCAAGCAGGCACAACATCCGGATTAAATAGCAATAAAGCAAAACAACTTTAGGAGAAAAACTAAATTTGGAGAGCGAACTGCATTTTTTGTGTTCTTCCTTCATAAAACAGCAACTCCCCCGTGCGGTCAAACAGGAGAAGGCAGTTTAAAATACTGTACTGTACTTCGCTCCACAGCTACCTTAAGCCATTCATCTTTGTTGAATGGAGAAATGTTAAAAGATGTCTATAAACAGTACCCTGAAAAATACTTCTGAGTTAAGTGACCACATAAAATTAATCCTCATGTGCAGAAGTGTCAGCTCCTAATTTGAAACCCCGTCCCTATGTAAAACCTTATTAAACAAAGTGACAAGATTATATCACTTCTGACTGGTGCAGGGAAACCAGCCGAGCGGATCAACCTGAAGCAAGACCCCCTAACGCAAGTGTAAAGAAAACAGAGTGAGATCATCAGGGTATTATCCTGTAACTGTGCTAGATGTATTCCTATGGTTTTATACCGCAATGAAGTTATTCATCATCAACAGAGTGAGACTCAATAATAGAATGGGCACATATGGAAAAGAACTGTAAAACAGTAAGACGAACTGTAGTCACATCTTAGTGTAGTTTACACTGTGAAAGGAATAACCGGTTGTCAGAGAGGACACCTGCTAGATTTTCCTAAAGCAAATGAGGCATGAAAAACCCATTGTAAGCTAACCCTCTTTCTCATTTAAGATCCCTTTGGTGGTCAGACAACAGGAGAAGGAGAGAGGTCCCCTCCCCACCTCACCTCCACTTTGCAACTAACAAGATCTGGGCACCAGCATCAAAACAGGATTAGATGAACAAGCAGGACAGGACAGTCTAGTACGAACAAAGAAAGGCTCAGCATGATCCCAAAGATCACACAAATGCAAGAGTGTGTGATATCTTTTATTAGACCATTAAAAAAAATTAACAAATAGCAAGCTTTCATGGATGAAATCCACTTCCTCGGGTTCTAGGCACATCTCCTTCATGGATGGTGCAGAAAAATTGTCCAGTAACTGAAGTTACATATCTGGGAAAGATAGCTCAGGACTGTGCACTAGGCCTCCCAATGATGTCTTCCACTGTAAATCTGGGTATACTATGTGTTGTCAAACTTCTGTTTTAAAAAGCCAAGAAATTTAATCCTCTTTTAAAAAAAAACCTCTGGTTTATGAATGGGGACATCTGTTTCTGTGTCAGTGATTCAAAACACAATATGATGAACTATTATAGAAATCCGTATTGTTTTCTTTTTCAAACAGTGAAGCCTGTTGGAGGGTGTGAGACTCTGAACCATGGATCAGCTGTTTGGCCAGAAAACGAACTGCGCCAAACCTCCAAACCAGTGGTTCATGCCCATCTCTAGGTTACTCCATCTGACATAGGAATAGCATTGGTTTAATAAAGAAATCTAGAACTAATTATCAGTTTTTAAAAAAATTAGAATTATTCTGAACAAACTAATATTCTGAGGTACATTTTAAAACCCTGGTTATCATATACAGTGGTGCCTCGCTTAACGGCAATAATCCGTTCTAGGAAAATCGCTGTTAAGCGAAAACGTCGTAAAGCAAAAATAAAAAACCCATTGAAATGCATTGAAAACCCTTCAATGCGTTCCAATGGGCTAAAAACTCACCGTCCAGTGAAGATCCTCCATAAGGCAGCCATTTTCGGTGCCTGTATAGCAAGGAATCCGTCCCTAAGCACAGCAGGGAGCCATTTTAAGCACCCAGCGGCCATTCTGAAAACTTGACAATCAGATGTTTTTGATCGTCGTAAAGTGAAAATCGGTTCCCGAAGCAGGGAACCGATCATCGCTAAGCGAAATTCCCCAATTTAGACCATCGTTTTGCCAGCACAAAAGCTATCGCGAAAACATCATCATGAAGCGGATTCATCGTAATGCGGGGTAATCGTAAAGCGGGGCTCGACTGTATTTAAATAATATGTTTAATCTATCCTGCTTTTACCCTCCTTTATAAAATGTCTGTGATTTGAATCTGTTTTGAGCAATGATTACATTAAAAATTATGAAGACTTGTATTTCAACTCCCTTTAACCTCTTCCAGAATAGAATTAACTCAAAACAGCTGTTAATTCAGATCAAAAAGAACTGCATGCACTATTCTTTTCAGGGCAGTTTCAGCCATAGCTACTTTCACAATTGCTTAGTTGAAACAACTTGTCTCCCTGGCTGTGGAAAGAGTTGCAATGGAAACTGAAAAGAAAACCAATGGAACAACACTTTTGTATCAATTCCAAGAATAAAATTATAAGCTCCTTTTCACCTTTAACTGGCGTTGCCCCAGTTCCATGTTGACTGCTCTAAAACTCTTGACTCCCAGAATTTGTTAAAATCCAAGTCCTATCACTCCCAGGTACTGTATTCAGTGGTCGGCGTGATAAGGGCTATTTCCCAATAACACCAGGTGAGTTACAGGTTTTACACTCCGGCTCCAAAACTAGTTTGTTTTTTCGTTTTTCAAAAAGACATCGTTCCAAGCTACATTTTTAGTGCCATTTGCAACTCTCTCTCTCATCCTGAGTTATTTAAATGTTTTAAAAGCATATTTTTCAAGCTAAGAATTGCCAGGGTGGATTTGATTGAAATCAAATTGATTTAAATCATGATTATGTTCTTAAAAACAAGGTTTTTGACCATTTAAATCAATACTGATTTTTTTTATTTCAAGTGATTTTTTCAATGATTTTTAAAAAAATCATTGATTTTTATCCATCCTGCTTGACATGTACACACTTGAGTTTGGTCAAAACTGCCATCTGTTTATATAGTTTCTTTCCACCTCTCAGTTTCCAGTCTAACATTAACTTTGGTTTCCTTTAGGCATCTCAATTAGCAAACTGTAGTTAGCATCCACCCTTCAAACCAGAAACAAGAATCACAGTTTAAAGCCAGCCCTAATCAGGATCTGATGTTGGCAATACAGAAAGTTAAATGGAATGGTCCACTCCAAGAATGCAGCATAGCTTTCTCCCTTCTTCCAATCGTTCCCCTGAAATTTGCATTAGTAGGTTTCCTTGCTCTGTGGATTGCATGTCGATTACTGCTGAAGGGAGCAGTTTTGTTAGAAGGCACAAATGGAACACATCTTGGTTCCCAAACCAGCATCTGATGCATTAAGGGACACAAACAATCATGTGAACTCTGCAGCCGGAGTGCTATAGCCCAAAACACACAAATCTGTACACCTCTATTTCTAATCACATGATAATAGCATCATTCTTAATGTTCAGGCACAAAATTACATATTAATGATAACAATAATTACATGCCAATTTTGAGTTATGGCAACTCTTGCCAGGATACTGTAGGTCTTATAAGAAGCAGTTTACCAGTCCCTTGGAACTCTATAAAAATTCAACAGACAGGAAAAAAAAATACATATCCACAAAAGTTAGGAATCAGCTGCCCCCAAACACAGAGGAAAGTGTTCATGAGGCTAAACCTAAGTATCTTCACACAGAATAATGACCCATTTATTCTTCTGGGGCTTATTTTTGAGTTACGCATGCTAAGGATTGTCAACATCAGACTGAAAAGTACACTCAGAAACATGCTGGCACAAAGAAGAAGAGAACTGAAATCCCAATGAATTCCTATCTTTATTGGTATAATTGTTGTTCGTTCTTTTGAAAAACCATATATTTTATATCCCTGCCATTTTTAGTTCTTCTCTCAGCTTGGCGTACCCACCAACACATTATAAACCCTTTCAGGCACATAGAACGATTGTTAATTTTTAAACTTGCCATCTTTTCATTATGCTAACAGCTCTGTGCCTGTATCTGCATCGAATAACTGCTCAGTACCCTTTGGGGTTTTTTGAAGAAGCAGCCATTACTGATCAAGACAGAGTACTATCAAAAAGTCATAGCAAACACACAGTGATATGTGCAATCCCTGCAACAATATGCAAGATTTCAAGACAACATCTGGAAATTTCAGAATAATATATTTTGTTATCACAGACTCTCCCCTTTTTTTGCCTGGAAACATTAATTTCCCAACAACTGGTTACTGCTTAGCCTTAGGTTTCCCATAAACATTCAGTACTTGTATTACCATTTTTTTCCATGTATAAGATGGAAGATTTTTGTCTAAAATCTTTAGACTAAAAATTGAGGGTCATCTTATACACGGAAGTAAGCTGAGGAGAGAATAAAAACAAGTGGAGGGGGAAAGGGATCAAAGCGATCTTGTAGCGCTTTGATCCCTTTCTCCCTCCACTTGCTAAACTCCCACTTAGATTTCTTAATTTGGGGTTAGAAAAGGGGGGGCATCTTATACATGGGGATGTCTTGTATACAGAAAAATACAGTATATTCTCAAAATGAGAACCAGCCAAGCATTTGGTTAAAGGTTCCTACGGTAAACATTCTACTTTAAGCCAAAGAGAGCCCAATGGAAAAGGAGCTCAGGAGAGAACTTTGCTCAGCAAGGGGGATAAAGGTTGATCAAACAAGATCTGGAATATTAAGACAAGGTTACAAAGACAAAGGTTACTGGCAGAAGGTTAGAAGTAAGCCACTTACCAACGACAGAAGCTCCTCTTTCTGCAAAGGCCAGTGCATATGCTCTGCCTAGCCCTAGAATGGATTAAAAACAAGAAGATCTTTTAGAACACCAAGAGTTTAAAATAATTCAATTCAAACGACATCCTGAGGTGCACTTCACATAAAAAGTCCTGTGTAACAGTTCCACTACGTCCTGCACTGGGGAACATTAAATAAAAGTTCAGAAACAATGCCTAAAGCTTAACGTCATCGTATTTTAGGCTTACTCAATGGTCTCAGAAAAGCCATCAGTACTGTAACTGCTTAAACCCATTCATCTATGCACACACAGGTAGCAAACTACACCATTAAACAATGCCATAAAGAAGAAAGGTAGGTATGCAGCCCTGCTTCTTTCATTCATGAAGAGACAGAAAAACTTCAAATTAATCTATTACATTACAAGTTAATATGGTACTGTTTCAAGTTTAAATTTAACATCTATGAACATTTAAGTATATACCTTGGTAGCAAAGGCTAGAGGTAGAAGTAGGTCAAACACACATTCTTTGTCCAGAAAATTATAGAATCACAAAATTCTATAAAGGATTCTATAAGAGACTATAAAATTAAAAGGCAGAAGTGTAAATCACAGAATAATCATAATGTAAATGAGTTGGAAGGGGCCTATAAGGCCAGCAACTCCAACCCCCTGCTCAAAGCAGGAATCCAAATCTGAGCAGATCTTACAGAGGGTTGTCCAATTTTCTCTTGAATGAATGCCTCCAGCATTGGAGTACTCACCATATTGCAAGGTAATTGGCTCCATTGTCATACTGTTCTAACAGTTGAGAAGTTTTTTCTGATATTCAGCCAACATCTGGCTTCCAGGAAATTGAATGCATTATTATGTGTCCTGGATTCATGTTCTGCATGTCTGAGGATGCACATAGCTTGTGTTCCATTCAAACTACCAAACTTCAGAAACTATGGCTGAAATCCTACTACACATCACAGTAAGTTGCACTAGAGTAGACCCACTGAATCAATGGGGATCTAGTGTGTCAACTCCCTCGTATCTTACATTGATTCAAATGGGATTACTGTACTGTAATTGTGACTTTCTTTAATGTAGTCCTAGATTATATACATTTGAATCAATAAAATTTATGGCAGAGTTGACTTGCCAAATCCCCACTGATTCAATGGGTCCACTCCAGTATGACTGGCTACACTAAGCAAGAGGATTTTAGCCTATGTCTGACTCGAACAGAAAGTGTACTAACAGTTATAGGGTCTTTATTTAAACATCCATATGCCATTCTGAATTAAACAGAAATCCTTCTACAGGAATGACTGAGTGACAGGTTATCTAACACCTCTGTAAATCCATGATATTTTGTTAATACCACACATACAGAAGCATGTTGTACGCTTTAACTTTGAACACATGGATAATTTGCTACAAAGGTATTTGGGGGGGCAACTGTTTAATATTTGCCACAGATTTTTAAAATGCAAGGACAGAACTCAATGTCCTTTTTCACACAAATGAAGCAGTTTCAAACATACTGAATGGGGCACTTGGCTTTAGCAAAAGAGCCAATGTATACAGCCGGGGAAATGTTTTTGCAACAACACACAGTCCCTTTGTTGTACTATTTCCTAAGACCAGCCTTGAGAAAACCCTCCCCCTCCCGCAGCTCCCAAAGGAACAACTGCTGTAAAGGTTAACTGCCCGTGCAGTGATCCTACATCCTAGTTAGGATGGCATTTAAAAATTAAAGCTATTTGTTCACATTTTGACCATGGCGTCGACCTAATCTTCTCATTGAGATGTCAATGCAGCACACTTGTGGAATCCCGTGTTTGAAGAGGAACATGACGTGGATAGGATCAATTTTCTACTTCTCAGCTCCCAAGTACAATGCGATCCACCTGCTTT